CTTTTATTTTCAAGATTAAATAAAACTGCCAAAACCCGGTTACTTAAGCCCAAACGTAATTTTGCTAGAAACACAGCAACAGCAATACGTACTGATCTTACATGAGAATTTCGCATAGATGATACTGTATTAACCAAATGGTTAAATTGTTCTTAAAAAAAATATTATAAGAATATATATAAAACAATTATTCTCAATATAATCAAGAAATTTCTTTAGCATAGATATTATATTCTCAGGTGTTTGATATTAATTTCTCCTTTCAAATGGACTAAAATATGTTTTGATTGACTTACAATATTTCAAACAGAAAAAGTGGAGTCAGAAAACTTTCATCTAATATTTTATATAATTTCAACTATTATTATTAATCTTGAAATACCTTTACTTAATCCAACAATAGCCTGATAACCTTCGTCACTGAAGCAAGATGGATCATCGAAATCAAATTTTTTTTGTTTAAATAATATAGTACGAATATCTTCGACAAATATTTGAAATTCATCTGAACCAATTTTCCATCGATCAGGTTTCGATACACGAATATGATCAAATGATTTAATAGTTAATTCATCTTCACACAAATGACTTGTACAACATCGAGACCCTGGTGCAACAAATATGCCACATTTTTAAAAAATCATTGTTCTTTGTATACGTGATAAAACTTTTGCTGAACAAGAATCTTTTTCATCACAAAACACGCAAGACCTAACATAAAAGCCTATTTTTATTAGGAAGTATAAGAAATGTTCTTACTGGTGTGATTTGGAACATCGAAAAATTGGAATACTAATACTATTAGGTTGAATATCAATATTTGCATTTGAATAGATTGTAGCAACATTATCAATACCAACACTCATCACCTATTAAGTTCACATATAATCAACAATATAAAAAAATATTATTTCTTACACTATCATCATCATTATTCATAGATTTCATATCAAACTCAGCTACATTATCGTAGTTGTTAAAATCACCTTCCATTTTTTGTTGCCACTTAAGAAACTGTGAACGACATTTCTGACAAATCATATCATCACAACGAATA